TTTACATGATTTGCCAGTCTTTCTCCTTAGTAATAACAACCAGTCATTTCAAACCATCTTTGATGATTGAATAAAGGATAAAAAAAATTCTGTACACTGTATTAGGTAAAGGCTTAATAAAACCTAATGTCTTTCTAAACAGATTCCCAGCAATATGTAGCTGAATTTCATTAGCAGTTTCAGAATTCAGTGAATCAGATGCATATTTCCATTCAGGAAAGCTTCAAATAGTTGCAAGCATAGTACCTTCATGTACTAGAGTGAACAAGGTAACAAAAAGTCTGACAGACTGAATAAGCCTTTAATCACTCTCTAAGGGAACTCACTGCTTGCAGTTATAGCACTTAAAACTGTTAACCTCAAACCATAGATACTTCTGAATCTCTTAACCACAGCTCCATACTGGGACTACCCTTTGGCTTAGGAGCAGATAGAAAACTTTAGCTTAAGTTTCTTTACTGTTCAAAAGCTGTATTACAATAATTGCTTTTAATTGTAGAAGATGCTACTGTTATTTATCCACACCTAGCATAATTTCCATTTTTGAACTCTTCTTGCCTTCTCTATTTTATGATGCTGTCAGGGTGCAAAGGGAATCATCCCATACCTGTCTGGGTTTTTCTAGACTGGAAAATAAATAAGCCAAAAAGATTACTAACACGTGTACCTCCTGTATCCATAAGAAAGACCCAGCATGAATGAGTGACTCATCCACAGGGCTTCAGACTTCATCTTAAATAGCTTCATCTTAAATAGCCCATTAGCTAAGGGGCCTCCCTGGTGGCACAAGGGGTTAAGTCTCAATACTGTGAAGCTGTCCACAGCCACCACAGCATAAGTTCAATCCCCAGCCAGGGAGCTAACCCAAATGGCACAGCAGACCTCTCCTGTCTCACCTGCTACTCCCCTCAGCAGTGTATTTCAGTCAGTCCACCTGTTCTGTTCCCCACTCTGTCTCTGGTGAATCCTCTCACACACCCCCCCCCGCATCTCTGGCCTGTACCCCAGTTCTTGTATGCATAAATAAATAAATATGTCAATATTGAAAAAAAAATTAGCTAAGACAAGGGCAGGGGGAGAGGGAAGGTCTGTTAGAGTGGTTATGGAAACTCACTGTAAACAAAGATAAGGAGATGTAAATTCTACTTCCATGAAAACAGGTAAGGATATTAGATCTTCCTGGTACGTGCCTTTACAGGTGTCCCTGTAAATATCTTTTTCAAAAGTAATCTCCACCCAGCCTTAAGAGCACCTCCCATAAAATCAGTCTTTTATCAGAAAGACCTATGTTGGGGTGGCAGTTGTTTGCTTCCCTAAACTGTATATATCCCACCAACTTTTAAAATGAAAACTTAAAAAAATACAGAAAAATCTGAAGGATAGTACAGTGATAAATATATTTGTGTATCTGTGTTTTGGTGGAACCATATGGAAGTTAACAGATGTCATGATACTTCACCCCTGAAGTGCTTTAGCATGAATTAAAAAAAAAAATTATTTTTCTATACAACTGTAATGCATTATGTGATGTGCTTGTCAGAATACAAAGAATATCATTCTGTATCCTTTGGATTATTGTAGGCTGGCAAGTAATCAAGCAAACATTAGATAAATTGATAAAATTAAAAGTTTAGTAAAATATTTTGTTATATATAGTAACACACCTATAATAATCCTGTATAAATTGGAGAGACCCAGTAAAACTGAGTAACACTCTCATGGCTTCAGATGCCATCTTAAATAGCTTAGCTAAATCCAGTGGGATTAAGAGGAAGAAAGGGGGAGGTTATTTAGGGGAGTTTACCAAGGAAGGCACTGTAGACACAAGTATGCAGCTTTAAGTTCTGTCTTCTAATATTCTCTTTCAAAAGAGTCACCTCTATGCAGCCTTCAGAGCCCCTCTCTGAAATAAAGCTCTTGGGGGTGGGGAGGGAGAGCAGATTTTTGCTTTCTAGATTCTTTTTTTTTTTTTAAGATTTTTTTTTTCAATAGAGGCATGTTTTTATTTATTTATTTGTTTGTTTATTTGTTTATACATGCACTGGGTACAGTCAGAAGCGTGGGAGGGTGAGAGAATTCACCAGAGCCAGAGTGGGGAGCAAAGCAGGCAGAAGGACCGAAGTACACTGCTGAGGGGAGCAGTGGGCGGCAGGAGAGGTCTGCGCCATGTGGGACCCTCCTCTGGTGGCCGGGGAGCAGCCGGGGATCGAACCGGCGCGCAGAGGCCGCGGGCAGGGGCCTCCCTGGTGGCGCAGCGATAGAGTGCTTTCTAGATTCTTTAAGTGAGCAAGTTATAATGTTGTTTTCAGTCTCAGCCTATTCATGGTGCTGTTACAGACTAGAAATGTCTGGGGTCACTCACCTGGGGCCATGCTACTTGTGGCAAGCCCCCACACATTTCCCTAACCTGAGGCAATGTTGTGTCTAGATGGGCCCTTGCGCTTCCTGTGAGATACACCTCAGCAGTAACCATCAAGGACCTTGAAAAGTAATTAACAGTCTGGAGGGTACTTGGCATCTTCAGGGTCTCGTAGCTGGTTTCAGGTAAAGAAAGAGATCCCGCGGGCCTGGGGATTTGTCTTTATTGGGGTTGAAGTTTCACTGGTCTTTATTGAGGTTGAAGTTTTACTGATCTTTATTGGTGGATTTAAAGCATAAGAACAGAAATTAAAATATGGGAAGGGAAAAGCAGGGTCATGACGCCTATTATCTGGAGGTCACCCAGGACTTTCTAAAAGGGAAACTTCATGGGAAGGCAGTCTGGCTCTATTTAGTTGTGTAACTGTCTGGGTTGGGTTTGTTCAAGTGGTTGTCTTTGAAATGGATGCCTTGGCAAGCAAAAGCTTAAAGTCAAGCACTTCACTTACTTTACAGTCGAGCTCCCAACATTCCCTCGCAGTTGTTCTTACCCAGGGCTCTGCAGGCCCATGTGTCTTTCTGGGTGTAATTTCATTCTGTCTCTGAATAAACTTTGCTTTTGCTTCTGCTAAAAATGTGACTGTCAGTTCTTCTCACACCATGGTTAAGGACTGAGGAACCCCATAATCCAGGAACCCCAAAACCCAACAAGTTAAGTGGATGCTAGTCGTTCTCAACAGGAAAAAAAGGTGCTGTCACAATGTACTAGTTCATTTTGTACAAAACACGTGAGATTTTGCAGAACTTTTTTTCCTTGCAGAAAGCATCACGTGACTTTTCAATAATAAAAATTGTAAATTGCAAGAAGCTTACATGTTTGCTGAGATTTTTTTCATAAATATTTTACAACCTTTGTCAGAGACAAAGAATTTGTCATCCTGTGGATACAGTGTCTGCATCTTAAGGTGGTTCAGCAGCAGAAGAGAGGTAATGTCAAACTCAGGCCTGGCAGCTTCTGTCTCAGTTGTACTTCTGTTTTGCCTTTTAGGTATTCCAAATGCTGCTAGAGTTCTTGGAGCAAAATACTGCCAAGGTTTGGGAAATGCTTTCTTAGCAAAGTATTGCTACCCCACAATAGTTGTATCTTCTTTCCAGTCTTCTGAATTAATGTGCCAACCAAATTTGTTCTGTTACAAGTCTATTTATTAACATCACATATAACGATTATAAAACCTGAGTTCTCTGACTTTTGTTCCTGAGGCAATGACCCTGCCTTATACTTTTTTTGTATATCTCACACTGTAGTCTCTGTATTAACTATTTTGTGCTAACATACCTACATATTGAGCTAAATTGAATTAGTGTACATAATATGTGTGTGTGTTTGTGTGTGTGTGTATAATTTTACAACTAGAAGCAAGGGTAGACGTTTTGTTAATCCTGTGGCTATATTCCATTCAAAAGGAATGAATTCCAAATCTGAAGAATTGGAGCATTTCATGTTTCTATAGGTATTGAAATTTTAGACTTTTTTCCAACACTAAAAAAAATTGATAATTATTTGCACTCAGAAGCTGGGTTCTAGGGTAACCTACCATCTCTCTATATGTTGAAGGTGGTGGGCTCTTTCATAAGGATGTGGAAAATATATATGTGTCCATAAATCATTTACCTTTGCAGTGGAGAAAATTCCAATTGCCCATTTAGTATTCTTTGTCTGTTAAAAAAAAAAAAAAAAAAAAAACCTACCAGAAACTATTGGTTTCATTTTTTCCGATTACTTTTAAGTGTTTATTGGAAACCAGTACAATGTATGTGTGTCTTTTACTACTTTGTATTCTAAACAGTTAGCGGGGGGACTTGTTAGAACTGTGGTAAAACGTTCAAGATATACAAAATCTAATTGTGAATAAATTTACCATGCCCTAGCAGGGCTATTTCCAGGTAAAAATTCATTAGAAGCAGAGCTGTCCAATTTTTGTAGAACAAAATAATAAATAATGTGAGCGCACATGTGGAATTATGTCATTCCCACAAGGACTCATTTTTTTTTTTTTAGCACGACTTGAAATGAGTTTTGTAGCTTGCTACTGCCATCTACTGGTTCTCAACTCTTGGGCTTCTAGCTACAGTGTAAAATATTTAAAAATAGGGGCCTCCCTGGTGACACAAGGGGTTAAGACACAGCCTATGAAGCTATCCGCAGCCACTGCAGCATCGTTTGGATCCCCGGCCAGGGAGGTGACACACATGGTGCAGCAGACCTCTCCTGACTCGCCCTCTGCTCCCCTCAGCAGTGTATTTCAGTCGATCTGCCTGTTCTGTTCCCCACTCTGTCTCTGGTGAATCCTCTCACACACATGCCCCCCCCCCCGCACCTCTGGCCTGTACCCCAATTCTTGTATGCATAAATGAATAAATCTTTAAAAATATTTAAAAATAAAAGAATTTAGATCTTAATTTATTGGCATCATTATATCCTTTACTGAGGGTAAGATCAGAATTTTCTTATGGTCAATGCAGTGTTTCCTTTGTAGTATGCTTTTAGTGAACAAACTCCTAAGTCTTTCTCCATTGTTAACAGTATGCTATTTTTCTGAGTTTCTGATCAAATCTTATTTTCCTTTGTCATCCCTCCCTAGTTTAATGGATCGAGAAGTGGCACTGCTTGCTGAAATGGACAAAGTTAAAGCTGAAGCAAGTAAGATTGATTTTTAATTATAGCTACTGCCAGTTAGTAAGTACCTGCTCTCAACACCCATAGATAAAGCACGGTATGAATATCACAGTAAAAGTTTATATAACTTGTTTTATAGTCTTGAACAGGTGTGCTACACTGGCATATAAATCCTTTCAGGTGAAACAACTTTACAAGAGTCTTTTTTTTTTTTTAATATTTCCAAATTTTAACATTTTGACATAGAGTTCTATACATAAGAGCGTATCACAGTGATTAAACAATTCCATTGGGTTTTTCGTTTCTGCTTGGGGAAGAAAACCTTTGGCATGCTTAGAGGAGACTTTGCCAGGTTGCCTACAAGTTAGTGTTTACATTCCTGTTGCTACCTATCTCAGAACTCCTCTGTTTTCTTGATTTGTAGAGCAGTCTTTACTCAGTGTCCATCATCATTGGATGGGGAAAAAGTTGTTGAATTGAGGGTTCAGGGTACCATGACTAGGGTTCCTAGAAAGCTTACTAAAATTTATTTTTGAGGAATAGAGTCTAATGTGAGTAATTTGTGGGGCTCTATACAGAAGAACCAGCTCTCTACTTCTTATTTCTATTTTGGGTTAGGTTAAAGATACACAGCTGTGTGAAAAGAAGAGCCTGTCAGCTGCAGCTTGTATAGTGGAATTGATTTGGGGCTTTTCAGCAGTAGGTTTTACCTTCATGCATTGAATGCCAGATTTGTAGGTAGGATGAGTGTTTCTTTTAACCTGCTGTCAAACTGGGAAGAATAGAAATAGGCTGAGATGATGATACAATTAAATCATCTGCATCTATGGTCATGGACCAAAGGAGGCAGCTTTTAGAGCACTGAGCTGAGTTTAGTTTTCATCTACTTTAAGATAAAATATTGAATCCATAACAGAGATGCTTTTTACTGTTTTTCAGGGATGAGATTTTATTTACATTAAGTGGTAGGTATATCCTAAAATTTCTGAATGTGACAATTTCAGTCCATTCTGGACTCAAATGTGTCTCTTTGAAAATGAAGGTTCAGATAAAGAAAAACTAGTAAGAAGACTATCCTGACTTTTTAAAAAGTGCTTTTTACAATGTATCTTTTATAGAAAATTTCACTTATTTCAAAAAGAGAGGCTAATATAACTAAATCCCCATCACCATTCATCAGCTTTGTATCTGTATCTCCTTTTCTCTCATGCTGAAAATCCTGGTTCTTAGTGACTCTATTGTACTTACTTATTTACTAATATTATCAAAAAGGTGCTTTCCTCACACACACATTATAGTTTTATTAATTTATATGTTCATAGTATTTCACCGTTTAGGATTTCTTCACACTCATTCATATATGATCTTCATGTCAACCTTGTGGATTGGGTTTGTCTTTTTTTTTTTTTTTTTCTATTTCATAAGTGAAGAAGTTAGTTCTTTGAGAAAAAATGTGACTTATTCAAAGTCATTAAATTAGATCCTGAGTTACCTAATTTGTAGAAATCTTTTCTTGATACATTTTCTCCATCTTTAGAAAATTGTATCTTAGAATTCTAGCAGATTGGAGCAGTGAGAAAGTAAATTTGGAACAAGTGGCATGTAGGCCTTATCTCAGAAGCCAAACCAGTAGGTCATTTGTAGCTATTTAGGCTTGATGTTGACAAAATTTTATAGGCATGCTCATAACTTACTGAGAAAGTGTGCCCTTGTTTAACCTGCCATGGGTATGAGCAATCCAGGAGTGGCACATGTGGAGCGATCAGGCTAAGTAAACTTGCTAAAGATACTCAGCTCTCTGTAATTACTGGTACAGTTCTTTGAAAATTCATTTTTTTCCTGACATAAATTTGCTAGTTTCTCAGTAGTAGTCTGTGTGTATAGCCGTTAGGAATTGAGTTGACTACCTGCAGCCAAGTGGCCTATATAAATGAGAATTTATTTTTCTCTCACTAAATGAAAGGTCCAGAGGTAAGCAATCCAGGACTGCTAGGTATCTCCCAAATTACATGAGGAATTCAGGCTTCTCTGTCCTTCTACACAGCCATCCTTAGAGTTTGCTTCTGGTTAGAAGACACCTCCTCAGGCTACAGAGTTGAAGAAGGGCAAAGTGTTGCATGCTGGCTAAGATTCGTTTAAAGAACTTACATTTAAACCTCACCAGTGAGTTTTGCTCAGATCTCAGTGGCCAGAGTATATCACATAACTGTCTTATCTATAACAAAGCTAGGAAATATAGCTTTATACCTAAGTACTTTGGACTTCTTGATAGAAAAATGGAAGAATGGATATTTACTTGCTGATAGTCTTTGCTACATTCCCATCTCAGCTACCTGCTTCCCCCCTTTTCTGAAATGAGCACACACCCTCCTCTAGGGTACACCTCCAGAGTTTTAGCTAGCTAGTATATTCAGCTGAAAGTCCAGGACTTCTGAATAATTTCAAATCTTCCAACTGAATATGGCATGTTGTGGTCTGGGGTCCCATAAATTAAAACCTTAATTCCCTTCCTCCAATATGACATAGAGAAAAAAGGAGGATAATTATAATAAAAATTCTTAGTTGGAAAAGCAGTGGTTAAGTCTTACTGGACAAGAATAGCAGAGTTCCTGCCCTTTGGTAAAGTTCCTTGCTTCATCCTCAGTGGCTCCCTAGTTCTGCTTCCTAGCAGGATTTTGCCCATCATATTCTGAGGCCTTTGGCTTTCTACTCTGAGAAATGTCTGTTGTCTGGATTCCCCACATCCACATCTGAGTTACATATCTGGGAGTATGCTAAGGAAGATGCTTCCTTAAAGGCTGTGAACATTGAAGGGATCTGTGCACTCCCATGCTCATTGCAGCTCTATTTACAGTAGCCAGGTTATGGAAACAACCTAAGTACCCAAGGACAGAGGAGTGGATAAGAAAATTGTGATGTGTCTATGTGCAATGGAATACTGTTCATCTATAAAAAAATGAACTCTTGTCATTCGCAACAACATGGACAGAACTGGAGAGGATAATGCTAAGAGAAATTAGAAGGAAAAAGACAAATACCATATGGTTTCACTTATATGTAAACAACAGAGAAACAAAAATAAAGGGTCAGACAAAACCAAAACAATAACAAACCCTGACATTGGACTGCAAAACTGAGGCAACCAGAAAGGGTTGGTGGTGGGATGGGAACAGGGGAGGCAGGACACACAATAGATCATGGAGGAAGATTACTAGGGTACTGGGGGTGGCGTGGTGTGAAAATATACATTTGTAGAGGTTTGAACCTATAACTCCTAAAACAAATGCAGTGATGTAAACCAACTTTACCTCAAATTTAAAATAAGACTGTAAACAGTCTACATATTCATTGGGAACTTGATGAATAATTAGTATATCCACATGGTATAATAGTGAGGGAAATCCAGTATATTAATAGGGAATGAACTTCAAGATACATGAAGTAAAAATAACTAAGGTAGCAATAAGTTGGGGAAAAAAATAAGGTAAAGAAAGGATGACATACTTGATTTATCACTAATTAGTGAGGAGGGGAAAAAGGAAGAGAGATTATGTTTATAATGTATAGAAGATCTGGAATTATTGTCAACAGTGGTTTCCTCTGGGGTGGGAACCAAAAGTCAGAAGGGGCCTCCCTGGTGGTGCAAGGGGTTAATTAAGCACAGCCCTGTGAAGCTATCCCTAGCCACTGCAGCATGAGTTTGATCCCCGGCCAGGGAGGTGACCCACATGGCACAGCAGACCTCTCCTGTCTCATCCGCTGCTCCCCCTAGCAGTGCATTTCAGTCAGTCTGCCTGTTCTTTTCCCCCACTCCGTCTCTGGTGAGTCCTCTCAGCCCTCACTCCTCCAGCCTGTACCCCAATTCTTGTATGCATAAATAAATCTTAAAAAAAAATCAGAAGTAGGGGCCTCCCCCGGTGGCACAGGCCGTTGAGCACCGCGCTGTGAAGCTGTCCACAGCCTCTGTAGTGCTGGTTCGATCCCGGGCCGGTAGGTGAGGGTCCCACATAGCACTGCAGACCTCTCCTGCCGCACCCGCTGCTCCCCTCAGCAGTGTTTCGTCAGTCTGCCTGCTCTGTTCCCCACTCTGTCTCTGGTGAATCCTCTCACCCTCCCACACATCTGGCCTGTACCCCGGTTCTTGTATAAATAAATAAATAAATCTTTTTTAAAAAGTCAGAAGTAGTAGGGACACTTACTTTTCATCTTCTACCCATTTATTCTAGATGAACTTTTTACCACATGTGCATAATTCAGCTTTAATTTACATTCTTCTTGATTAAAAAAATTTTAACTGGGAACAGAAGAAAAATGACAAATGACTTATGAGTCTTTATGATTCATTAAAAGTATTTATCATTTAACTACCCACGGAGTCCCTCAAGAAGGTGGAAACTAAACCTTTGGTATTTTCTTTTCTGAATGGGTGGGCAGCTAAGTCTTTGTATGGACAGATATGTACTGCACAGTCTATACTGGAAGTTCTTTATCCTGTGTAGCAGAATGTAAGAGTCATGCTCCTTTTTCTCTTCAGTGGAAATTCTGCTCAGCCGACAAAAAAAAGCCGAATTTCTGAAGAAGATGACTGATGTGGCCGTTCGAATGTCAGAGGAACAATTGGTTGAGCTCAGAGCTGATATCAAGGTAAACGTCCTCCTTTTTTGCCTTTCTTGTTACCTGTGGGGAATAAGTAGTAAATCTCCTTATTCATACCCATGTATAATATATCGAACTCATGATTATCTCTCCCCAAAGATGGCCCTCTTTGAGTTTCCTTATCTCTGTAAATGGTGCTATCATCTATCCAAGCTGAAAACCTTAGGAAATTTTTTCTTTTCCCACATGAAATCTATCAGTACACCCTGTCCATTTGACCTCCTCCTAAACCTCAGGTGACCTTTTCTCTTCATCTCTACCACCACGATGACGATAAAGCTGCTGTGATCATTGCAGAGACTTCCTTAATAGCCTCTTAACTGATTCCAACCGTCCACTTTGCCATTACTTCATGATCCCCACCCTGCCATGTATCTTCTCCACTCAGTGACCTGCTTCCAGCTTTCCGTTGCTTTTAGGATAAAGACTATTACCCTTAACACTGCCTGCAGGGCTCTGCATGATCTGCCTCTGACACCATCCTCATTTCTCGGCATGTCTCCTTGCTCTGCACTGCAGCCATACTAGCTTGGCCTTTGCACAGATAGTACCTGTTCCCTCTTGCTAGAGGATTGCTGCACATGTGTTCCCATCAGTGCAAAGCATTCTCTTGTACCCTCAAACCCCATAATCACTCATAACCTGCTCATCCTTCCTTTTCTTATCACATTTCCCTATTTTGTGTCTTTATAGCACAGTCATAATTTTATGTGCATTTGATTAATTCTTCCCCATTAGGTTGTGATTCTTACAATGTTAGAAGCTGTGTCTAGGGCCAAGCAGAGTGCCTTGTCACAAAGTAGGGTTCGGTAAATATTTAAATAACTGGTTGCATGATTCTGATTTTATAGGGAAGAAAATGAGCGATTTGAGATGTTGATTATAATGTATTTACAAAGATTCCTTGGGTTCATATATATAAATTCTTATGTAAAGAACAGTATTTCTGAGACTCAGCATGGGAACCTGAGAGAGGGAGGTTGGAATATTCATGGTATTTTTGGACACTGGCATTCTACATAATTGTTGATAAACCATAAACTACATGAACAAGGGGAGTCAACCTTCTGTACTCCTAAGCCCTAAACCTCTGTTTTTTTTTAACATGTTCAGCGAAATAAGTCAGAAAGAAAAAGAAAAATACCGGATGGTCTCACTCATAGCAGGAATCTAGAAAACCTAAATAAGGGACCAGGAAAAAGACTAATTAATACAAAGTAAAAATCAAAATCAACAAGCAACTATAAACCAGAGACACACTACAGGGGGACGGGGGCGGGGAGAGGAAGAATTAGGGTCAAAATAAGGGGGGGGTACAATTGTATGAGGAATATAACCAAAATGAAAATGCATACATTGTGCAAAAATGAAAAATGATGTAAGAATTATATAAAATAAAATATTTTAAAAAAAGTTCTATTAATCTTTAAAAAAAAAAAAAAGTGACTCCAGGCTCCCTTAGGAAATGCCTTTAGACCCCCAGAAGCTCTTTATTCCCGATATGTTTCTAGTAACACAATTACTGTAGTATAGTTTTTGGCCTGACAGGTTGGTTGCTTCTCAGTTTAACTTGCTTAAAGTATTAGATTACTTGTAGCATAAACTCTTTGCAAAGTTGACTTTTTGCTCTAATGATTTTCTATCCTTAGAAATTGTTCCTATTTTAAGAAGTAAACAAATTTTACTTTATAAAGAGATGCAGTGAGTTTCCTAAGGAAGTTTCTATTAAAGAACACCAAACCAACTATTTACATTATTGTAACTTATGAGCGTTTTTGCTGTCTCTGCTTCTATTTTAAAAAGGAACAATGTGGAGTCAACAGTGGAAAGCCCCTCTACTATAATTCTCCATTCTCTACCATGTCTGCTATACCTAGTGGGCTTTGACCCTCAAGTAGCATTCCATAAAGCTCCCAAATATACTTATCTTGGACTCTTGAAAGTGACTGAATTTTATCAGTCACCCATTGCCCATTGGTAATATGAAGGCCATTTAGTAAATTTGAAGCAGTAAAAAGATAATTGAAAATTATTTTGCTTCAGTGTGTTGCAGTCTGTTCCCCACTCTGTTCTGTTCCCCACTCTGTCTCTGGTGGATCCTCTCACCCCCTGCATCTCTGGCCTGTACCCCAGCTCTTGTATGCATAAATAAATAAATCTTAAAAAAAAAAGAAAATTATTCTGCTTCAGTCTGTGTATAACAAACTGTAGCATTCATGTACTTACTATTTATCTCACACAGAGTTTTTTTCTTTGCCTTTTCTCTAGCACTTTGTTAGTGAACGTAAATATGATGAGGATCTGGGACGCGTAGCCCGGTTCACCTGTGATGTAGAGACCCTGAAGAAGAACATTGATTCATTTGGACATGGTGAGATGGGGAGAGATTCTGGGTGCTAGAGTGATAAGAAGACCACCCTCTGTGTATTAGAGGCTCAAGTGCCGGTTGGTCTCACCACTGGTTCTTCTTTAGTACCACTTTTTTGTTTGCTTGTTTTAATGGAAAGTCACTTGAGACACTTAAGTCAGTGGATGCAGATATTTTGAGCTCTGAAGATGGGTATATGCCAGCTCCTTAAATATGCAGTAATATTAGTTCATTATTTTCTGCTTAGGTGAGAGATGTGTAATATGTGGTGTAAGGACATGGACGCTGGTGTCAGATAGTTTGATCTTTGCCTCTATACTGACTTACCCCATTTTACTCCTCTTCAATAAGTAGAAAGCAATACCTGCCTTGCCCTGCAATAACAGTTTGGGTGGGGATTATCTCTAAGGTTAGAGTTTGTAGTGACGCCTCAGCCCAACCCTTAGCGTAGCTCCTGTGTTCTTCCTGTCTCAGTACAAAAGTGGACCCAGGTTGGTGATTGTGAATGCAACATTAGTGCAGGCATAGAGGGAAGAAAAAAAATTGAACTTTAACAAAATTTGTATTGAAAATATTAATATTTTTCAGTTAGATTTGTATTTTGAATTTAGGATTATTTTTGCAGAAAGGACCTTAGGAAAACATATTTGTTGTAAAAACTAGTTTGGTTTAAGTAACCTTATTTATAATCATTTCAAATTTTTAAAAAAATATTTAGCTTTCCATTTATATTTTCTTTCTTTGCAAATTCTGTACTTCAGAATGTTCCTTGCACAGGATGCTAAACATAGGGTCCATTCTATTGTTCCCAGGCTAGCCGGTGCTGGAGCCATAGCCAGGAGCTGAGGAGTGGGAAATGCCACAAAGTCACTAGTTTGTGAGGAGATGGGTCTCTTTGATCTTAAACACTTCTCCTGACCTAAAAATTCCTTTAGGAAGCAGTGGTGATATGGACGGAATAGAGGAAAAGAGCAGAAGGGAGATTTTTCTTCCTGTTCTCCATTTTGGAAGCATTTCTTTATAGCTATTCAAGTAGAGAGTTCTTTAATTGTTCATTGTGAAATGAAGAAATAGGGAAAACCTTACCCATCATGCTCTTCCACAAATTTCTCATATTTATTTCAGTGTCCCATCCAAAGAATAGCTATTCTACCAGATCCCGATGTAGCTCAGTTACATCTGTGTCCTTGAGTAGCCCGTGTGATGCCTCTGCTGCTTCCTCTTCCACCTGTGCCTCTGCTCCCAGCCCTACAAGTGCTAACAAGAAAAATTCAGCACAAGGAGAGACGCCTGCAGCTGCAGCAAACTCCAGTGGCCGGCCCTACCAGATTCATCCAGAGGTGACATAGCTTCTCCACTGAGCAAGTTAGGAAGAAAAGCTGCCAGATTGTCATGGTTTAAATGTTGACAGCTCAGTGCATTACCTTCCTCTCTTTATACCCATTTCACATCTATTTTGAATCCTCCAGCCACTGTTAGTTCCAGAGAAAGCATTTGGTGTGTATGTTTCAAACCGCCAGCCAGTTTAGATTGCCTGTTGCCAAGAACTGTTGACTTTCTGATGTTGGCGGTGATCCTAGCCTTTGTAGGTAGGATTGCGTAGTAATTAGGCACAGTGGGAGTTGTGCACGCATCTCAAGGTGGACAAGCACCACAGTGGCAGATTCACCAGAACACATCAAAGCAGCAACTCCTTAAAGCACAGTGTGGAACATACTAGGGAGAGGGAGAGAGAGAGCCTGGTGGGATGGGGAGCAAGCACTAGGAAGTCTAAGCATAATGCGTATTTTTTCCCCCTTGGTTTGAAGAAAATACACAACAGTCTAAGGCAGTGCTGTCAGTAATTCTTCATAACTGGTATAACATTGCAATCAGGAGACAAAAATAAAAGGCCATGCCTTAAGTTTTCTGGGTTGTAATGTGAAAGCTGTACTAAATGTCAGCAGCATGATTTAATCTACGGTTCATGATACATAGCAAAGCTGACTGTAACGTTTATTATCCCAAATGTGGTTATCTTTACAGAGGGCTTAAGAGCTCTCATTTCGACATGTGAGAAGATATTTGCCCAGTTGAAGGCTTGTAACAACCCAAAGAATGTCCATTCTTCCTTCTTAGCTTTATTTTTGTGCCCAGTTGAAAAAACATGAACTCTCTTTCTCCTCAGTGGAGAAGAGCCTAGGGGTGAAAGGCGGGGAAAAAATAGTGACACACTCATTAATTCTAATGTTGTGACTAGATAGGATTGGTTAACAGAATTCTGTGACTCTTGAGAGAGAACTGAATTCCAGGCCTGGGATATACCACAATTATGTTTTCAGAATACTCCTCCAAACTGAACAAATCGAATGGGAGCAAATGGGATATCACAATGCCAGGGTGCTTTGAACATTGTATTCTTTTATCCTTAGGTATCGCTGGGAAACCGAAGAGGAGGACAAGGCTACAGGCCGCAAGGTCAAAAATCCAGTGGCCCCGTGAACCAAGGGCGACATGACAGTGGGGGTCGTTACAGAAATAGCTCATGGTATTCATCTGGCTCCAGGTATCAGAGTGCTCCACCCCAGGCACCCGGGAACACTAATGAATGGGGCCAGGCTTACTCCACAGGGACTAATGGAACTGGAGCCAGCGCGGAGCCTGGCCCGCCCAAGCCCACGTTCAAAAAGGGGCTCCCGCAGCGTAAACCCAGGACCTCTCAACCTGCAGTCGTGAACTCTTGAAGGAAAATCCAGTTGGCCTCTCTTCTGTCCCACATTTTGACTTGATAACTGGACTTTGGGAAACTTATAATTAGATTTAATAACAAAAAGAAGTTTACTCATATCACTTTTTGTGCCATTCTAAATATTTTTGGTTTCCTCTTTCATTTCTTCTTTATCATTTTTGGAAGTGATGCTGGTTTTTTTTTTTTCCCTTGACCTTTCCCAATGATATGGATTGATTCTGATTGGTCATTGCCACCAGGAATCATAGGCAACTGTTGCTAGGTTCCTCAAGGGTAAGCAGTGTTCTTCCCTGTGCGCCAGGCTTGCAGTTGCCTGAGGAGGCCTTCCTCAGCACCTGCTGCTGCGCAGGCTGCCTCGAGGAGGTGGGTCAGCACTCCTTCCTGTTGCCTTTTCCGTCTCAGTGAACAACAGCATAGTAGGAAAGGCAAGAAAGGGCTTGTTTTCTGCTCTGAGTGAGCTGGAGGAGGGGAGGGTTAATGGGTGGAAAGGAAAGGACACTGGGAAACACTCACGCATCTCTCTCTGCACCCAGAATGTACCTGAGACTGACACTCAGATCAGGGCTTCAGTCTCCTGCTTGGCAACCTAGCCTCACATGCAACTTCTTCAAAATGCCTAAAACCCTTGTTTGCTATTACCTGAGACTACAAACCAATCTAGGGAAATCTATGGGAAGGTAGCATTTAATTAAAGTTTAAAAAAAGAAAAGTATTTCTTTGTTTCAGTGTTTGAAGATTTCGTTGTTGTTATTCTCTTGACTGAATACCCTATTCTGATCCTGAACCAAATTTCTAGCAATATAATTAGTGTTATCTAAGGTGTTACCTATCAAATAATTGCCATCAATCTTTACAGTTGAATAAATAAAAACAACTGCATCAGTATTCACACATTTGTTTCGCAGCAACAAGTGACTTCATTATCTGTTTTTCTTTGAGTCTCATGGGATAGAGTTCACTCGGTCAGCCTGTTTGGGACTCAAATGAGGGGTCTGCTTTCTAAGTCATTTGTCTACTGCTTAGCTTTAGAACCAAATTAAAATGTGAAAGCTAGAATGAGCAAATGCAGCTATTCCCTGTGGGAATGGATTTCCTCGGATTGGGAATGGTGACTTTTCCAAAGGAGAGCTTACCGGTTTAGGAAAGCCACAGCTGCCAACAGCTCTCCCAGACAACCAGAGGTTATATCAGCTCCCTCTCCTTCACTGCAGTCCCTTGACAGGAGCAGTGAACACAGCAGTATAATTGCACTCCTGCATGTAGCAGGTGGCGTTGGTGCCAGAACCCTCCACCCCTCTCCCGCCCCCAGAATCTATGATTTAATAACAGCAGAGCTTTTCTTTCTCCAAAATTTGCTCTCCCAGTCTGAGTCCCAGACTGTAAGTAGCACTGGTGCAGAACTTAGCTGCCTCAGGGCTTTCCCCTGGCTCTTCAGCTGAAGCTGAGCTGCCAGGGTTCAGGTTGGTTGAACAGATTGAAAGGGTGTGCACCTTCGCATGTGTGTCTTTCAGTAAAGAAAACAGTAGTCAAAGAATACTGAGAATCCATTTTCTAAGGGACTGATCACCTCATTTTGGGGAATTTATCCAACAATACCATCAGCCTGCTGGGTGTCAGGAGAAAAGCCCTGCTTTTCTGATTAATTGCTTACCTATGCTTAGGAAATCCAGAAATTAAAGCGACCTTAAAGGAGTATGAGGTCTATACCTGTATCCAGACAGATGGAAGCCACATGTTTGTCAAAACTACCTTGAAGTTGAAATTAAAATCCCCATATAGGAAAATACTGGAAGATATGTTTTCTATGGAACTTTTTTTTTTTTAGAGAGATTTATATATTTATTTATACATGCACTGGGTACAGTCAGAAGCACGGGAGGGTGAGAGAATTCACCAGAGCCAGAGCGGGGAGCAGAGCAGGCAGAAGGACCGAAGTACACTGCTGAGGGGAGCAGCGGGCGGCAGGAGAGGTCTGAGCGCCTTGTGGGACCCTTGCCGGTAGCCAGGGATCGAACCGGTGCTGCAGAGGCCGCGGGCAGCTTCGCAACCTAGCGCTCAACCGCAGTGCCACCAGGGGAGGCCCTCTATGGAACTTTTTAAAAAAAGATTTGGTTTTAATTATAAAAGTAGCATTTAAAATGCCAAATCTTTCAGAAATGTAAAAGGTAATAGTTTTCCATCTTCCCAGAAGATGTATATGTATCTCAGAGGTTATCACTGTTACCAAGTTGGTATGTATCCTCATAGGATTTTCCAAAGCATGCACGTGCCATGGATATCTAGGCTTTCAACTTTCTGTTCTCCTAAAAAAGGGCTCATCCTGTGTATGCATTCCGTAATTCCTTTTTAAAAATCATGTCTATCATAATTCATTTAGGATTTCATGCTGCAGATATAACCTACTCCTTAATTTCACTAATTTGTCTTTTTTTAAATAAAGATTTATTTATTTATGCATACAAGAACTGGGGTACAGGCCAGAGTTGGGGTGGGGGGTAAGAGGACTCACCAGAGACAGTGAGAAGCAGAATAGGCAGATTGACTGAAATACACTGCTGAGGGGAGCACTGGGCGAGTCAGGAGAGGTCTGCTGCTGCTATGTTGGTAGCTCCCTGGCCGGGGATCGAACTTGTGCTGCAGGGGCTGTGGACAGGTTCGTAGGTTGTGTCTCAAACCCCTTGCGCCACCAGGGAGGCCCAAATTTGACTTTTCTTTAATGAAGAGAAGTTAAGTTTATCTAAAGTTTGAATTGTGTGACTCATCCTTTGCTCCTCAGTACCTCAGAGGCCCCAGGCCCTGGACAGCACCACGGATGTCCAGCGAGCCTGCTTAATCCTCACTTCCTCTTTTCCATTTCCAATTAATGTCTTGCCTTTTCCCAAACTAGAGATAGGTCTGAGACTTCAGGTCAGTTACTTGCTCCTTGAGAGAGAAAATTTAGCGTGACATCATTATGAACATCAGATATTTCCTAAGCTCGCTCTTTATGGCAATTTCTACAATTTACTTTTTCAAAAAAAAAAAGTACAAAAGGTACAAAAGGATAGATGATGGAAAGTAAAAAATCCTCCCATCCTTTGTCCCACTCCAGAGGAAGCCATTGATGGGTTGTTTGTGTATCTGCACAAATTTCCTAAATCCTAACGTGCAGTGTTTTTTGTCACAGAAATGGGAACCATACCATACTTGCTCCTATACACCTTGCTGCTTTCACTTTTCCTTGATTTTTATAACAAGTTTTAAGAAAAATCAGTATATGTAAATGGAAAAATGGAAAAATATGAAGTGTTCAAAAGGATATATGATAAAAAATTAGCCTCCATCCCACTCAGATGTGTGTTTCCTCCCCAGAGGCAACCACTGGTAAGTATCTTGTGTGTCCTCTGGAGATGGCCTGTGCAGTGCACATCTGTCATAAGAATGTGCCATCAAGGCCTCTCTTCATGTCAATATGCCTGAGTAGATCTTCTGTGTAGTACCCTATCATGTATTAATTTATCATTTAATCAACACCTAATAATGGTTCTCAGTTTGTTATTGTAAGTATTGTTGAAATGAGCATTTGATAAAATATGTATCATTCCCCACGCGTGAAGGTGTATCTTCAGGTTACAATCCTAGGAGTGGAATTATATGTAAGTATTGATAACTTTTTTTAATTTATATATATTTTACATCATTGTTCATTTTTCTTTTTACAGTGGTTGCTTTCTTTTCTCAGGTGTAGTCCCTATAGAATTTTTCCCACCAGTTCACCCGTGCACCATCACCATAGTCCCTTGTGCTCCTCCCGCACCCGTCTCAATCCCACCTCCTGCCCTCCCCTGCAGAATGTCTCTGATTTATAGTTGTCTGTTCATTTTTGTTTTGTTGTGTTTTTTTTTAATTGTTATTATTTTCCCCCCGATCCTTTTATTTGGTTTCCCTATATTCTGCCTATAAGTGAAAACATCTGATATTTTTCTTTTTCCTCTGACTTATTTCACTGAGCAAAATCCCTTCTAGTTCCATCCATGTTGCTGCGAATGGCATTAGTTTATCTTTTATGATTGCTGCATAGTATTCCATTGTGTATATGTACCACATCTTTTTGATCCAGTCATCTATTTTTTTGGGCATTTTGGGTTGTTTCCAAGTCTTACCTATTATAGTGTTGCAGTAAACGGAGGGGTGCCGGTACCCTTTTGAATTAAAGTTTTTGTGTCTTTTGGGTAGATCCCTACGCATGGAATTGCTGGGTCATATGGTAGATCCATTTTTAGCAATCTGAGGAACCGCCACACAGCTCTCCATAGTGATTGGACTAGTCTGCAGTCCCACCAGCAGTGCAGGAGAGTTCCTTTTTCGCCACATCCTCACCAACATTTGTTGTTGCTAGCTTTTTTTAATATGTGCCATTCTTACTGGTGTAAGGTGGTATCTCATTGTGGTTTTGATCTGCATTTCCCTGATTATGAGGGATGGTGAACATTTTTTCATATGCCTGTTGGCCATTTGCATTTCCTCTTTGGAGAAGTATCTTTTAAGTTTTGCCCATTTTTTGACTGGATTTTTTACTTTGTTGAGTTGTGTGAGTTCTTTGCATATCTTTGTGATCAATCCCTAATCAGTTGTGTGGGGTGCAAAAATCTCCCAGTCGGTAGTGCATCTCTTTGTTTTAGTTAATGTCTCTCTTGCTGCACAGGAGCTTTTTAGTTTGATGTAGTCACAGCTGTTTATCTTTTCCTTCACTTTCTTTGCTTTGGGGGATGAGTATTTGAAGATGTTACTGAGATGTATGTCTTGCAGTGTTCTACCTATGTTTTCTTCCATATGTTTTATGGTTTCAGATCTTATGTTCAGTTCTTTTGATTCAGAACTCTTAAAGATAGAATGATTTAGACACGAATAGTGCTTGGGAGTGCTCTGTACATTTGCTGAGATGAAAGCTAAAGCTAAGGAGAGAGGAAGATAACTAAAACACGGTCCTGATTTCAAGGGGCTGATCAACTAGTTAGGGCAGCAGACATACCTACAGTAAGAGTGCACGGCGAGAGAGAGAGAGAGAGAGAGAGAGAGAGAGAGAGAGAGAGAGAGAGAGAGAGCTACCCCCAGTGGATGAGCAGGCGTTTGTCCAGTAGTTTATCATTTGGTGACCTAATATTTCAGTCACCCAAACCAGGGTAGTCTTACACATATGTATGGGTGAAAAACAGGATAAACTATTTTAGGTTGGGAGGCTTGTGGAGAAGCCAGAATGCCTGGTTGTGGATCTGTAGACCTATGCTTTGGGAGAAGGTCATAAGTTATTGCCCTGAAAATTCTGCCATTTGACCTAACAAAATGAGGCTTTGTCTTGCCTGATGCATAGGGTTCAGCACACATGGAAGAAATAAACAGGTGTTCAAAATGACACCTTTGGATGTCACCGACTGATAGAAGGAGCTATTTTGTCACAATTTTAACCAGTGAATTTGGGGTACCAGGCGTTAATGCTGGGAGCCAGAACAACATGCTGCAAAATCAAGCTTGATTCTGGTTGCTTTAGCCACCTGGGTACATTCTTTTTTTTTTTTTTGATTGATTGATTTATGCATACGAGAGCTGGGGTACAGGCCAGAGGTGTAGGGGGTGAGAGGAGTCACCAGAGACAGAGTGGGGAACAGAACAGGCAGACTGACTGAGGGGAGCAGCGGGTGAGTCAGGAGAGGTCTGCTGCGCCATGTGGGTAGCTCCCTGGCCCGCTGGGGATCAAACTCGTGCTGCAGTGGCTGCGGATTGCTTCATAGGTTGTGTCTTAACCCCTTGCACCACCAGGGAGACGCCACCTGGGTACATCCTTGCCTGCAAGCATTGAGGCACCAGGTACTGTGCTGAGTTCTGAGGCAAAAATAAATGGTTCCAGCTTTTTCCTCAGTCACTTTGCATGTTAGGAAAA